AGTATAAATCATTATAATCCGTAATTATGTCCCCACTGGATGCAACAAATGCCTAGTTTATAATGGGTTTTATTGGTTTTGTCTCGTTGTGCCAGGACACGGCATCACAGTATGGTAAGGGGCGTAACATTTCCGTCACATTGAGGAATTTGGCCAATCACAACGCACTGGATAGCTGGCCAATCAGAGCACACCTCGCTTTTCAGAACGATGAGCTTTGTAAAAATCTACGCGTTTCAGAAAGGCGGGGCATAGAGGAGAAACAATAATGTACAGTATGTGGAAAATAATGTGTTTTTTGAACCTTAAACCGCATAAACACATTTCATTACACCAAATACACAAAATAATGTTCTTTTTAGCAACATCATATGACCCCTTTAATGCAATCTAGTCTTATTGTGAATAATTTGTGAGTGAAAGTTATTTCAAAAATATATAAAAATAATATAATTTGTTTTCGTAATATTTCTCCAATAGCCAAATATTTGTATAGGCACTGTTTAGGCTGTTGTTGTGGGTAATGTAGCCTTTCTAAGATCTTTTTAATAGCTAACAGTTATTTAATGCCATATCTCAATATATTAAAACCCCAAAACGGACTAAATTTAATTTGACCTGTATTGACCTCACTTTAGTTTCCCGGGGTTTGTCTTTTTGGAAAAACTATAGGAGAATAAATTGCCAGACTGTAAATGATAGCTGAAATCACTGTGATATAATTGACTTTACACTACTGTACAGAAGTTTTTTTTGTTTTTTTGATAAATGAATACTTTCAGCAAGGATGTATTAAATTTATCATAAGGGACAGTAAAGACATTTATAATGTTACAAAAGATTTATATTTCAAATAAATGCTTTTTTTCACTTTCTATTTATCAAAATATCCTGAAAAAATTGAATAATAAGAATAATTATTATTGTTGATAATAAAAAATATTGCTTGAGCCGCAAATTAGCATAATGATTTCATAATGATCATGTGACAATGATGCTGAAAATTCAGCTTTGCAGCTATCATTTTGCAAATAGAAAACTGTTACTTTAAATTGTAAAAAATATTTCACGTTTTTATTGCATTTTTGATCAAATAAATGCAGCCTTGATGTGCAAAAGAGACTTCATTCAAGACTTCAACTTTTACCGCCCCATACTTTTGCATGTTATATGTTATATGTGACAAGAGCAGGTCTAAAAAAAAAAATAATAATAAGTGTTCCTTTTAAGAGAAAGTAAATCAGTTGATTTCTGTCTGCAGCATACAAATGCTGTCTAATGTGTATAATCTATCATCTGATACAGTTGCTGTTAGGATTAGAGCCCTGCACTTGGTGTGTGATTCCTCCTGGGACCTGAAGGATGAATTGTGGTCTTCAGTAAAACAGACACTCCCCTTCTCCTCTCATGAAGACACTGTGAACACTCGGTGTGCTGTCCTGCACTCTGTCCTGCAGCAGAGACAAACATTCAAACACCTGGGCCAAGCGCAGCTTTACCTTTGGTGAGGATTTTAAACAGATATTGGTGCGCAAAAATTATAAAAGTAACTCAAAACTTTTTTCCATTTATAGGACTCAAGAAGATCTACTTGCTCTGATTGATGCACATCACCGCATAACCAAACACTGTAGTGACCCTACCGGAGCATTGGAGTACATAGCAGGTACAACTGGGACATGAAATGCTTTAAATGCATCTCTCTGGTTCAATATGAACTTGATGATGTTGGTTGATCTGCTCTCTCAACAGGTCGCCTGGTTTATGGGAGCCACGTGTCAGACCATGAAGATCTAGCAGCTGTGCAGAGTGTGATTAGGGCATGTCTAAGAGATCCGTCAACATTATGGGGGCGTGGCAAAGACATTCTCTCAAATATCCTTAACTTTACAGGAAGATTTGGTATGCAAACACACTCTATCACTTAAATTTCCATGATAAACTATAATTATATAATAGTAAAGTTTTTTATATATATATATATACAGTGGGTGTAGAAAAGAATCACCCCCCTTTAAAATAATAACATTTTGTTGCTTTGCAGCCTGAAATGAAGATGGACACAGTTTTTGTTTTATTCAGCTGTACGTATTTACCCAGTGCAGCTTATAGCATCCAAGTGAAAGATATAACACCAACGTGTCAGAAAAAAATTTACATATATTAAAAAACAGAATCACTAGCTATGTTTACATAGACACTTTTTGCTTCCATCGGAATTAATTAATTAATTCCAAACGTAGTGTTTACATGAGCACTAAATAAAGTGATTGGGTTGATATGCACATTTATATGTCACAAGCTTCTGATCAGATTTAATCTTTTGACATGCGCACACTGCATGAATATGTCGCATGCTGTTTTAAAAAGCACACTTAATATTTATCTACTTCGGGTCCTAATTAGGTGACGACCAGCACATGAACATGCTGTGCTGCTTACTTTTACTGGTTTATAAAGTGCCCCTTCCTGCACCCAAAACCAGTTGTCTGTTGATGAGAGTCTTAAACAAGGACTGGTTGATGTTGTTTTGCTCCACTTCACAGACGCTGAGTGAAAGCAGAAATTTAGAATGACGGGACACTCGTTTATGACACTTTATTCACCAGGAAGAACAGCTCGTTCTGCGTGTCATACATCATTACACTATTTTTACTTCACTGCACATGCGCAGTACTTTCCAGTTTCGGTTTTCAATCCGATCAAGTGTTTACATGTCCTCTAACTCAGATTACAAAAGGAATAAACCACCCCTTACAATCCAATCGAAATTTTAATCGGATCTGGCCAATTCAATCCGATTGACTTGGTTACATGTGACTTTTTTCTGATTGTGCTTCTAGTCCTATTACGATCGGATTATTAGGGTCCATGTAAATGCAGCTACTGAGTTGGAAAAAGGATCACCCCCTCCTAAAATGACTTGTAAACTCAATCAGGTCTAGCTAATCAGCTTCTCAATGGCACACAAAGCCATTTGACTTTCAACTGTGATCAGCTGTGGTCATTTTGATCAGCTCAGCATGAAAAGAGCTTTCCTGGAGCATTTCAGTCCTTGGTAGTGCAACTGAAGCAAACAATCAACTATGGGTGGCAAAGCGCTGTCAAAAGATCTCGTGGACAGGAAGTCAGGAGAGGTAATATCCTGTTATGGGAGTGTTTCTCTGCAGCAGGGAGCACTTGTCAGGATAGAAGGGAAAATGAATGGGGCAAAATACTGTAAAATTCTTGAGGAAAATCTGCCACCCTCTGCCAGAAAGTGAAGAAGGTTTACCTTCCAACATGACAATGACCCGAAGCACACAGTCTTCATTTCAGGCTGCAAAGCAACAAAATGTGATTATTTTAAAGGGGTTTGATTCTTTTCTATACCCATTTTGTGTGTGTGTGTGTGTGTACAGTCATGGCCAAAATTTTTGGCAGCGACATAAATTTTGTGTTTTGCAAAGTTTGCTGCTTCAGTATTTGTAGACAATTTTTCCACGTTTCTATGGTATACTGAAAAACAATGCTAAGCATATCATAAGTTGTAAAGGCTTTTATTGGCAAAAAAATATAATGAGTCAATATTTACTGTTGACCCTTGTGCTTCATAACCTCTGCAATTCGCTCTGGTATGCCCACAATATTAAAAAACCTGGATTTGTTATTTCTAGACCTTGAAAATTAATGTAAATCAATCCAATCTTAAACAGCCCATGGTAATTATAGTAAACTAAAACTATAAAAAAAAAAACATTTTCATTACTTGAAATAAAATTAATGTTAACTGAAATGAAAATTTAAATATACAAAGCTGATCTTATTTCAGCAAGTTAACAAGACAACATTTCTTATTCCATTTAATTTAACTTGATGTACTAAAATAACAAAAATTAAAACTGAAATAAAAATATTATATAGACCTGTTTAAAAACAACAAAAACTAATAAAAATGACAGAAAACACAACAAAATTACTAAAACTTTAAAATTAACATGAAAGCAAAAAATATAAAAGATATGTATAATTCAAAATATTAACAAAAACTATAATATCTTAGTGTTACTACAATAACACTGAAACAGCTGTGGTAATTTTATTAAAAATATTAAATAAATATTTTTTCTAGTTATGGTAAGCTCTAACATATTTTGTTGGGTGGAAATTAAATAAATAAATAAAAATCCTTATCCTTCATCCAGGTCCAGTTAATCACAAATTACTGGAAAAGTAATATAATTCCATTGGTTAGAAAAAGGGAATTTCTGGCATATAATTATTTTAAATTATAATTATTTTATTATAATTACTTATTATTATTATTATTTTATCTATGGATGCTCCTGTTTTCTTGAAAAGAACCAAAACTTTGTCATTACAGCAGATGTACCAGAGGAACCTGTTACTTGTTAGCCTGCATGGGGCACTGGTGGGCCTTGGGGTCAAAAATGCTGTGAACCACTGCTATATAGTATTTTTAAACATCTACTTTGTACTTAAATGCTTTAATTAATTGTTACACACTCATATTTTTGCAGAAGCTGGTGGCCTGTTGAAAGACCTGAGACATTGTATTCAATGCATAACTAGCAGTACAGACCCATTCATTCTGGGCTTTAGTCCAGGTATGGCAAGTGAACTGGTGAAGCTAAAAAGTCATAGACTCAGCATTCTACTGCATCAATCACAGAATATCTATGCTGATGTCAGAGGAGACAACAGTCTTTTAATGCAACGTCAAGAACTTCCGGACTATAGGACAGCTTGGGAAAGGCTGCTAACTTTACAAGACAAGTTGAGGAAAATGGACATCGGCATGGGAATAGAATCCTGTGATCAGCTGTGGTCATTTTGATCAGCTCAGCATGAAAAGAGCTTTCCTGGAGCATTTCAGTCCTTGGTAGTGCAACTGAAGCAAACAATCAACTATGGGTGGCAAAGCGCTGTCAAAAGATCTCGTGGACAGGAAGTCAGGAGAGGTAATATCCTGTTATGGGAGTGTTTCTCTGCAGCAGGGAGCACTTGTCAGGATAGAAGGGAAAATGAATGGGGCAAAATACTGTAAAATTCTTGAGGAAAATCTGCCACCCTCTGCCAGAAAGTGAAGAAGGTTTACCTTCCAACATGACAATGACCCGAAGCACACAGTCTTCATTTCAGGCTGCAAAGCAACAAAATGTGATTATTTTAAAGGGGTTTGATTCTTTTCTATACCCATTTTGTGTGTGTGTGTGTGTGTACAGTCATGGCCAAAATTTTTGGCAGCGACATAAATTTTGTGTTTTGCAAAGTTTGCTGCTTCAGTATTTGTAGACAATTTTTCCACGTTTCTATGGTATACTGAAAAACAATGCTAAGCATATCATAAGTTGTAAAGGCTTTTATTGGCAAAAAAATATAATGAGTCAATATTTACTGTTGACCCTTGTGCTTCATAACCTCTGCAATTCGCTCTGGTATGCCCACAATATTAAAAAACCTGGATTTGTTATTTCTAGACCTTGAAAATTAATGTAAATCAATCCAATCTTAAACAGCCCATGGTAATTATAGTAAACTAAAACTATAAAAAAAAAAACATTTTCATTACTTGAAATAAAATTAATGTTAACTGAAATGAAAATTTAAATATACAAAGCTGATCTTATTTCAGCAAGTTAACAAGACAACATTTCTTATTCCATTTAATTTAACTTGATGTACTAAAATAACAAAAATTAAAACTGAAATAAAAATATTATATAGACCTGTTTAAAAACAACAAAAACTAATAAAAATGACAGAAAACACAACAAAATTACTAAAACTTTAAAATTAACATGAAAGCAAAAAATATAAAAGATATGTATAATTCAAAATATTAACAAAAACTATAATATCTTAGTGTTACTACAATAACACTGAAACAGCTGTGGTAATTTTATTAAAAATATTAAATAAATATTTTTTCTAGTTATGGTAAGCTCTAACATATTTTGTTGGGTGGAAATTAAATAAATAAATAAAAATCCTTATCCTTCATCCAGGTCCAGTTAATCACAAATTACTGGAAAAGTAATATAATTCCATTGGTTAGAAAAAGGGAATTTCTGGCATATAATTATTTTAAATTATAATTATTTTATTATAATTACTTATTATTATTATTATTTTATCTATGGATGCTCCTGTTTTCTTGAAAAGAACCAAAACTTTGTCATTACAGCAGATGTACCAGAGGAACCTGTTACTTGTTAGCCTGCATGGGGCACTGGTGGGCCTTGGGGTCAAAAATGCTGTGAACCACTGCTATATAGTATTTTTAAACATCTACTTTGTACTTAAATGCTTTAATTAATTGTTACACACTCATATTTTTGCAGAAGCTGGTGGCCTGTTGAAAGACCTGAGACATTGTATTCAATGCATAACTAGCAGTACAGACCCATTCATTCTGGGCTTTAGTCCAGGTATGGCAAGTGAACTGGTGAAGCTAAAAAGTCATAGACTCAGCATTCTACTGCATCAATCACAGAATATCTATGCTGATGTCAGAGGAGACAACAGTCTTTTAATGCAACGTCAAGAACTTCCGGACTATAGGACAGCTTGGGAAAGGCTGCTAACTTTACAAGACAAGTTGAGGAAAATGGACATCGGCATGGGAATAGAATCTGCTTCTCTTGGTCCATTGCACTGTTTCTTCCAGATAGAGCGGGAGCGTCTGGATGCACTGGTGTCTTCCCTCCTTTTAGACAGTTTTCAGCCAGTTAAATATAACATGACAAGCTCCACTACTGCGTATCTAACATTATCAGCTCTCTCACGACTGGAGACTCAAGCAGAGCAGCTCAGGTCATACCTGTGGGAGGAGTCATCCAGTATTAAACCTCGTGTTTATCGACTGTCTGCCTTTCTCAATCCCAGAGGCTTTCTGGCAGCGTTGATCAGAGATGCAGTCCACATCCAAGACAAGGATATCAGTCTTTACTGCTTGAATTTTAAGGTAAATCTCAGTTTCTCAAACACAAACTGAAAAAAAAAACACAGAACACAAGATTATTTGTTTGTTTGTTTGTCACCAAATCCTTATCCTTAATCCTAGTCCAGTTATTCACAAATGACGGAAAAAGTCATATAATTTTATTTGGTAAAAATGTGGTTAACCTTCCTTTGATTAATATTTAGCTCTTAAAAATTCTGGAATTATGAAGTGTAATCTTTACTGTTTAAATTTTAAGGTAAATCTCAGTTTTCCAAACACTAACATAACACAAATAGTCACTAACATATAATTTGAAATATAGGTCAAGCACCTCTGAATATATATATATA